CCTGCCTTGCTCTTCACTGTCTTTCACAGTTTCTCAGGAGAATCAGAGCTACCTGGATAAATAATCTTATCCAATAAGCAAATTGATTTTTGGCAGTCAACTTTCTGTTTACTCTTTACATCAGCTTCTGTCAAAGTGTATTGTGTATCTTAAAGAGTGTGGGGAGACTGGTCCCTGAATTCACAAATACCCCACCCAGAGGATTCCATTAGAAATTAAGAATAAAATGGAAGACAATATGGAGAGAGGGAACAGAAGTCTCTGGAGAAGTGCTATGGGCTGTAACAGGAATGAAGGAGTAACTCATTAGAAATGGGGTAAATTAGGAAGAGGTACATTTCTTGCTAACCTCTACCCACCAGACTACAAGATGGGTACGAGGAATAAATATATTAAAATTGGGGCAATTGGAGTTATGCATTATTTGGTTATTCTGGAGATCCAGAGAATTGGCTGTTTCTTTCTGTCTGGGTTGGGGATTACTTTGTTCAGAAGGTACTTTTTTGGTTTGGAACAATAAGAAGGGACAGAGTATCACCCAGGAGAGAAAGCAGCTCTAGTACACTGAGCTGTTGTTAGGCTTAAGAACAAGAGATGATAGGAATTTTGAGATTTCTTATCAGTCTGTCTAGTCTAGTTCCATAGGATAGAAAATGAGGGAAAGATTCAAGGTAGATACCCTTCCTAGAAACAGAGATTTCACATTTGTCTAGATTTCTGGGAATCTGAAGGAGATGGAGGCAACAAGTTCCAACGCTATTTCTTCAAGCTGAAGAAGAATGCTTAGACTTCCTGATTGTTTCCTGGGTCCCCAGTGAGTTCCTTAAACCTTACAGAGGCTGAATATTAATTGTTCCTCTATTTTCAGGCAGAAAATATTTAATAGCTGGAAGATGTATTGAAGTCATATTTTGGAGGAGTTCCAAAGTCTACAGAATTGGAGTCTGCACTACACTCTGCAGTCTGTAGCTAAACAGAGTTGAAACATTCCCAAAAAATCTGCTGTGCAAATTGGACTAAAACAGGACAGAGAGAAGCCAAGCTGTCTTCTCCAACCTGTGAACCCATGGAAATCCCCCGTTTGCTTGAAGGGAGTCCGGCAACTTGAGTCTGTGGCCTTAGGGCAACAGGCATATGGGAACCCAGTATGAGAAGGGTAAGGGCATAGTGAATCCGAGATTTGCCCATTGGGAAGGGAGGTCCCAGAATTCCTGACTGCAATTCCCCTCCCTCACATTCCCATGCTCATCCCAACAGCTGAGACTGATGTGATGTTTTAAGATGAACTTGAAGGTAAGAGCCACTTTTACTTACTACTGGCGAAGGTGACATTGACACCGTAAGATTGTCCTTTGTGCAGTTTGCAGGGCTGGGTGGGGCATGGGTTGACATTCACTTCCTTTATAACTCCGACCACAGAACCTACAAAAGAAGAAAAATGAATTGGAACAGGAGGGAAAACAAATCACCAAGGCTGTCTCCTACCTAATGGGAAGGAGCTACGCACCCCCAGTGAGGGTGAGCTCGTTCTCCTCTGGTCATCAAGGGTCTCCGGGAAACTGTTCATATTTGCTGGATGAAGTAGAATTAAAGAAATTAATGCGTATACATAGCCAGCTCCCCTGCTCTATATCCTGGGAGAGCTATACCAGGGAAAAACCATTCCACCCCTCCTTCCATCCCGACACAGGATTTTGAAGCAGCACACACATGGCATAAGCAATAGCTCAAGTCACAAGGTTGCTGTTTCTTTTTGGAATCTTGAGACTGGCTGCTCCCAAACTGCCCCTCCCCATCATCTTTCAGTCCTGTCCTGGGATCTCTCCAAATCAGTGGTCTCCGAGCTTCATATACCCCTACCGATGAGAACAATTTTAAGCACACATCTGTAATGAATATTAACACTCTACTCTGGAACCTGTGTTCTTCAAAATAAGTTCGGGGCAAAGTGTGTGTCCTATTTTTTTTTTTCCTCCAGTCTAAACAAGGACAAAAATACTGTTTGCTCACAATAAATGCTTGACCAAAAAAGCTTAAGTACAAATCTTTAAAAATCCCCTTACTTCATTCAGACCCCTGAAACCAAACAGTTGAATGGGAGAGGATGCAAGTAAACTGCCTGTTAACCCTGCCTGTAACAGGGTGAGCTTAAGCTTAACTTACCACTCATCTATCATTGCTGAGAGCTAGACTCTGAGATCCCATTTGAAATCTCACTGGCTCCATCACTTACTGTGGAACCTCAGGGCAAGATACTTAACTTCTCTAGACATAATAACAGTACCCTCATAGGGTAGGTGAGCTAAATACACATATATAGCTCTTAGGTAAGTGCTTGAAATACAGTAATGCTATCTAAGTGTTTACTAATACTATTATCATACTGGGATTCAGTCCATGAATTCAATCTAGAGTAGCTGTTCCTGGTTAGCAAGTTCCCCTTTAACACAAAACGTGAGCCTCTCACCTCAAAGATACCTTCTGGGTAGAAATAATGGATCTAGACAATAGAAAGGACTCTTCGTCTCAAAAGTAGAATGTATGAGGTCAGAAATGAAATAGCAGGTTGAGAACTCATTATCGGCCTGTTCTTGGGTGGAACAGTTTCACCATATTGACCAACACTGCTCCAGCAAGGTCTCTAAATAATACTTTGCAGCCCCCTATCCCCAGCTTGCTTCTCTATCATGGCAAAGTTCTCAAACAATACACAAGGTTCTCTTCTCTAAGCACTCTCTTCCACTGTGTCCTATCTTCTACGGCATGACTAGGCAGAAGAATACCTGGAAATTTAATCAACAAATTACTGAAAATCAGTGCTTATGCTAAAGCTTTCAACTTCCAGTTTCTACCTACTTCTTTCAAGGCTGGGTCATATGATCTGGTAGGAACTGAGTAAAGGGCAGTACTTGTAGCTCCTTCATCCAGTTTTTTTGCTGACAAGAGGGTCTTGGATTCCAGTGTCAATAGAACAAACTTCTCAGTCCTAACCTGCAAAAATTGCAAAACTAGTTTGCTTGGCCCCATTTCTCACTTGAGGAAATAATACTCCAAGGGAAATGGGGCATAGAGTGGAACGCAAAAAACCTTTTGATGTGGGTGAGCACTGAGATTTTTTACACTGTTATTTCCCAATTCAAAAGTAAACTGGAAAAAAAAAAGTAAATTGAAAGTCTGTAACTGAAACCCTCCTACCCTTAAGAACTTTTTGCCATAGGTGTACACTTGCTTCTTTTTTTTTTTCCTTCCAAATAAGCAGAACAATGTCAGGATTTAGTTTCCTTATTTTTTTTTCTTTTAAATGTTACAGTTAAAACCTAAAGTGACTCACAAACACCCACTAGTTTCCTACTGCTTACTACCTGTAAGAACGTGGGCAAGTTACTTTATGTGCCTGTCTCCTCATCTGTAAAACAAATCATGAGAGTTGAATGAGTTAATAAAGTTAGTGCAGTGTCTTCATCCAAACGTCAGCCATTAACTTTAATGGAGATGATAATAGCATCTTTCAAGCGCCAGTCTCTAGTTCAGTGGAACAGCATTTGTTAAGTATTAATATACCAGCAGTCTTTATTCCCTGATCAATCCTCTCCTGTAGCCCCCAAGTTTGCTTTTGCCTCAACATGAATTTTGATGACATAGTTTAAGAGTATTTACTCTCTCATTTACTTTTCCAACAAATATTAATTGAGCAGTTACTGTTACCTGGGTACTGGATATAAAGAAGCAAATTTATTTTGGTCACCATGTCTGCTTTGTGACTGGGTAAATGACCTAACATCTCTGGAATTCAAGATTGACTCTAAGATCTTCAAGTTTCCTTCCAGCTCACAAATTTTATAAAATCAGTTTCATGCCTTTTTAATTTACCATTACACCTCTCCACTTCAGAAAAGTCCTGCTCAAACAATTAATTCCATAGACTTCACTGAAGGAACTCACAATTTCTATCCGCTGTTGTATTTCTCAACAAAGATTCCAACCACATTGGTAAGAGAGGGTCATGTGTCACAAGTTGTGACCAGAAACATGAATTTTATAAATAGGAGGAAAAAACTGGTAAGAGTCACAAAATTCCACAGCTCAAAGGAAGCCCTAAAGGAACAAATAATCATGAAAAGGAGAATTGACTTTTTACTTGTCAGCAAAAAGGAAATTGAAAAGACAAGCAACGGAGTGGGGTTAGGAGAGGTCATCCAAGATACAAGGCATAAATAAAAAGTTTTGAGCCTCATCCCTTACCCCTCAGGCCGCACATGAACCTTCGGTAGTTTGCCCTATAAACTTTAGGAAACTTCAGCAAAAGGCCCACCTCCAGGAATGTCCTGGAGCCCCAAACACGCGTTCCAAGGAAAAAGGCGAAGTTATGAGTGGTCAGGTTTCATAGAGGTCAGTATCTTGTCCTCCACCCTAGCTCATTCCCCGATGGGTACGAGGCTGAGCTTGGCCGCCCGCAGGACCCGCCCAACCTAGCCCAGGGGTCTTAGCACTAGGTTCCCGCAGAAGGCGTGGGAACCTCGAGGTGGCCCAGGGCTCACCGCAGTCCTTGAAATGCACCGGCTCGGCCAGGGCGGAGGCGCTAAGCGCCAGGAGCAGGAACGTGGGAGCCAAGAAACGCATCGCAGCTGAGGAGGTTCCAAGCTTAAGGAAGGAAGACCAACTAACGCGGTCACAAGATAAACCTGCTGGGGCGGGCCGGGGGAGGAGCCCAGTCAGGCTACCGGTCACCAGCAACCAGGGCCGAGGCCCGCCTGCGCCCCGCCCCTGGCTTCAGGGAGCCAGACAAGGCTCGGTCCCTCCCAGACCCCCGCTATCTCCGCCCAACTGGCCCGCCGCGCTGTGGGGCAAGCGGAATCCATCACCGCCCAGCGCCACTCCTCCTTCCAGCTCTCCTCCCGGCCTTTGTGGGTGCGTCTCTGGGTCTGCATTCCTAGCCAATCAAACCCCTTCCTCCCGCACCACCCAATAGTGTGCTAGGAGGCGGGGTCTCCGAGGATCCCGCCTCCCGAGGCCCAGGAGAGAAGGGGATTGGAGCAATGCGAGGGGCGGAGTTTGTGGAGGAAAATGGCTGCCGCTTGGGGCTTGTCCCTAACCGCTGCGGCTCTGAGAGCGGTCACTCCCTGGCCAAGGGGCAGGTACCAAGCTTAGAAAGGCACCTGGGACGGGTGTTTGGTTCTGCGCCTGAGGACAAAGGGGAAACTAAGGCTCCCGGGGGAGGTGAAGGTTTGGAGTGAGGCTGTCCAGGTGGAGGACGTCAGGCTTGGCGTGAGGCTGTCCAGGTGGAGGTCACCAGGTGCCCCTCTGCTCCGAGGCTCACCCTCCTCCCTTGCGCAGCAGGCTCCTCGCGGCCTCCCGCAGACGTCGGGCTCTTCGGGAAGTGTCTTCCAGCCCCGAAGCTGGCGAAGGGCAGATCCACCTCACCGACAGCTGCGTCCGGGTAAGAGATCGGACGCGGGGCGGGGGTGGCGGGTGAGGGCCAGGAGTTGCGGGAGCCTTTCCTTGGCCCAGCCTTCTTTCTCCCCTTGCTTGGCATCCTTGACCTCCCCCCGCCCCCGCCCCCTTTCTGCATTTCAGAGGCTTCTGGAAATCACCGAAGGGTCAGAATTCCTCAGGCTGGAGGTGGAGGGAGGTGGATGCTCCGGATTCCAATACAAATTTTCACTGGATACAGTTATCAACCCCGACGACAGGCAAGGAGAAGAGGGGTGGGTCCTCAGAGAATGTGCGGGAGGAATAAAAATGTATCCAGTTTAAGGTGCAGTTTTATTCCAAATTTAATAGATTCGCTAAGGATGCTTAACACCACCCTTCTCACTCAATGGGGATACACTGATTTGTTGTCTTGATTCGAAATAACTAAGTTACAGGAAAATTGGCTTGCCTAGATCCATAGGGTAGTTGCTGGAGAGGCTGGACTAGATTCCAGGCCTAAATCTTTATAAACATTTTCTAGTATTCATTCCTTTGACACTGCCGCAAAGAAAATCAGCACCTGTTAGAGATAGGGAATCTTCCTCTGTATTGCAGAAAACAGAGGATGTACACCTTCGGGCTCAGAGAGTGTTATGTTTTTGGGGTTTATGATATTCATTAATGCCTTCCTCCTGTCTTTTCAGGGTATTTGAACAGGGTGGGGCAAGAGTGGTGGTTGACTCTGATAGCTTGGCCTTCGTAAAAGGGGCCCAGGTGGACTTCAGCCAAGAACTGATCCGAAGCTCATTTCAAGTGTTGAACAACCCTCAAGCTCAGCAAGGCTGCTCCTGTGGGTCATCCTTCTCTGTCAAACTTTGATGGGATGATAGGTGACCCAGAGATTGCTACCATTTGTACCGATTTGAGGAACCTGGGTTTAGAAGAATTCTAGAGGTTTCCTTCCAATCATGTCCCTCTCTCAATTTTATTTCCCTCAATCCAGGAGTGCTGTATTTTGCTACTATTTATTTTCAGAATATGAAGCTTTTACTCTTGACTTAATTTCTCCAACCACAATTGTAAGGCCAGGCCTCTAGATGCCATTACCTAAGACTTATTAACTGGTTGAAACCCAGTATAATCTGTAGAGCCTCCAAGGTTCCAGAATTTGAAGTTGCTTTTCTGGCCTTCAGAGCTGCTTGTACATATGTGTAGGGCTTCATTTTAAATAAAGTCCTTATTTACTTGTGTGGTTGGTCAGGGTCACAGATTGGGTAGCTTGAATGTTGGTTACTAGGCCAGAGAGGAGGAGAAAGCAAATGAAATGTCCTCTTCTTCGTCCCACCCTTCCTGAACGTGCCAGTTGACCCTTACCCTTACTTTCTATGCAGCCCATTCTCTGCTTCCCATTTGTTACAGTAGATACTCTTTCCTCTCATACTTGTGAATCTGCTAGATTCACAAAATTGATAGCCCATCACCGAGAAAACTTGGACCTAACCCCCACTGATACCTGAATCATTGAAAAATAGCCTCCATACTCACAGAGACATATCAAGATTCTGTGATCATTAGAGACTGAATCTTTTTATGACTGTTGCTTCTCTTACCTTATGATATAAAATATCTCTGGTCTCATGCATAGCAGGAAGTGGTGCCTTTGTACCTGGTATAGATAATGGATACTTGGAGATTTTTTTTTTTTCAGTTTGGACTACCAGATAATCTAATGCAGAATGCCCATTTAAATTTGAATTTCAGATAAATGGCAAAAAATTTTTAGTATATGTATGTCTCAGTGAATACTAAAAATTATTTATTGTTTATCTGAAATTCAAACTTAACTGGGTATCCTGTATTTTAATTTGTTAAACTTGGTGACCTTACTGTAGAATCACTGAAAGAAAAGATGTTTAAGCCACAAATTCTAATGAATTGTAAAGTACTTGTTTATGTATGGCACTTAAATAGGCCATAGAGCTAGAAATAGTCACGGTATGTGTGTGTGGAAGTGGGGGAGCCAGAACTATTGGACAGACAACCAAAAGAAGATAAAAGCACCACCGCCATGACAGATGATTAATGATCACTAATGTTGGGGAAACCACACCCAAGTTGATTCTGGAAGAATTATTGGTTAAACCCACCTATTCTTTGAGAGCCTAAAAGTTCATAACAGCAAATCTTGCATTTCTGGACTGGATTGAAACATTTCTACACTGGATTGGAATTAAGGTCTTTCAATAAAAGGATTTACCGTTAAAAAAATAGATATACAGAGTTTAGAGAAAGTATCTGAGATAGAAACTTACATATTTACATTTTCAATAGGAAAACCTAGGGCTTAGAGAAAACAAAGCTATCATGTGTGTGCAGTGTGTACAAAGAGGAAAGAAGGGTCACTTAGAAAGCTGAGCAGATTTCCTTAGCATATTTCCATGGAAGGAGGCAGAAGGCATCATACAGTGGAAGTGTCTGTGTGTAACTTTACTAAGCTGTTGAAAATTGCTGCCAGTACCTGGGCTTAATAAGATTTTCAGCTCAGATTGAGTCCTTGATTTTGCTACATTTTAAGTGTTAAAGCTGTTCCTCCAGGATATTTTTGTGGGTTATTTATTGATTTGATGATTTTAACACAAGTATAACAGCTCTAGTTGCCCAATAAACCATTAAATTCCAGTGGTCAATTAGGCAGGAACCAGGGTCCCTTTGAATGCTTGTGTCTAAGTACATCCTGTTAATGGAGGAATTGGAATTTTGTGTTTAGAAAGGGTGGGCTTGGGAGAAATCACCTTAACTTTATCACCCTTAGAAAGCTTCATGGGGAAACCTGAAGTGGTGACAAGAATTCTCAGTTGGAGGAGGTGGTGTAGAAATTTGAAGACCACAGGGCATGGGGAGATGACAGCATCAAAGGCTAGTGGGCAGTTGGCTTGGAATAAACATTAAGTGTGGTAAATAGGTTTAGGAGCTCCTGGCCTTTCTGACCAGACACCCTCTTCCTGCAGGCCATACAAGCCAGTAGACATTTTCACAAGTTTTGCTCACTGTGCAATTCATTTAGGAAAACTTCATAATCTTCCAGTATCAACTGGAAGATATTTTTGCTTCTCCATTACTTTGAGGGGAGGTTATTAAGGGCTCCTCCCCCCCCCTTTTTTTTTTTTGCAGAATTGGTTTTATGTAACTTTACAAGCTAGTGACTTCTTGGGGCAGCATGCTCCACCTTTGCTGTAGCCAAACATAATTGTGCAAGGACTGAAGGCAAGGGAGCCCTGCCTCTGCTTTATGTTGTGAGTCGTTAACGTTGTTTGATCAAAAGAGGGGGCCTGTTGGTCAGTGTCCGGATCTTTCCTTGTGGAATCATACTCTTTAGTTATGTGATTGATAGTGACCAAGTGGTATGTAAACTCTAAGTGTCCCACCCACCCTTAGCTTCTTTGTGTGGGAATGTTGACCAATTACAAGGGACCAGGAGAAAACATGTTCAAAAGTGAGAGATTAGGAAAGACTGCTAAAATGAGTGTCCAAGAAGTCTTCTTTCTCTAACTTCCTTCTGAAACTTGAGCCCCATTCTTTTGGTCTTTTGTTATAAAGCTCGTGAGCGGAGGGTCGCCTTTTGGCAGCAACATCCTATATAGAGAATTGGGTAGTGGTGACCATTGTTGCATCGCCCTCCCGTGAACTCTGGCCCTTAACTGATTCTGTGCAGCTGGCAGTGGGCAGAGCCTACCACTGTCCACTCAGCATTATTATGGCTCACATGTTCTGTCTCAAAAGCAGGAAACTCCTCTATTTTTCTAGGTATCTAGCATTGATGTTTATGATTGCTTTTTAAAAATCCCTGCTTGCCATTTCTCCACAGAAATGCCATGGGGCTCCTTAAAGGAAGTTTGCTTTAAGAAGTTTTGAAATAATTATCATCTGGCTTTAAATGTAAAATACATAAAAAGAGGGAGCATTTAAGTAGTGTTATGTCCAGCAGTTATATTTAAAAATATTTTATTTTTTTGAATAGGTAATACATAAGGTACAAAATTCAAAGAGTCACAAAAGGGGATACAGTGAAAAGTCTCCCAATCCTGTACCCATCCGCCCCGTTCCCTCCCCACAAACCACCGTTGTTTCTGAGAATTTACCCCACAGGTATAATCCCATAGATATAATGTGACATAACATATACACAAGAATATTCATTACAGCATTACTGATAATAGCAAAAGATAGGAAACAATGGAGATGTCCATCAATGGGGGACTGATTAAATAAATTATGATTTATCCATTCAGTGGAGTAGTATACAGTTATAAAATAGAATGAGACAGCCGTTTATGTGCAAGTATGAAGTGAAAAAAGCAGAGTGCAGAACAGCATGCATAGTATGATATTTGTGTTTCTAACACAGTGGGTGTATGTGCGTGAAATATCTCTGGAAGGGCGCGCAGGAGGGCGAGGGGTGGGAGGAGGGGCAGTGGGAATAGCATTTAAGAGGGCACAGTGCCAGCAGGGTCTACTGAGGAATGGTAAGGATTTCTCTGAAGTACAGGGTGTGAGGTGGAGTGTCAAAGATGAGGTTAGCAGATACCCAATTCTTTTCCCCCTTCCTTTAGACAAATAGCAATAGCAGCATCTGTTACACTGTTGTACAACCTTTCTTTTTCCCTTAGTCTGTTTTGGGTGTCTTCTCTAGGCATTTAGAGCCACTTTTTTTTTTTCTTTTTAGGGCTTCATAGCCAATTATTTCTAATCTTTTGCTATTTCAAATAATGCTGTGATAAATAACCTCTTAACATATGCCTTTCACATTTAGGGAGAATATGTCTAAAGGTTAAGTTTAACTTCCTAGAAGTGGAATCACTGATTTAAAGAGTAAGTGCTTTTATAATTTTGAAAGACATTACCATATTATTCTGTTTAGGAGTTGTGCCACTACATGCTGTTGGCAGCGATGTGTGTGAATGCCTCTTTCCCCAGATGCTTGCCAAATAGGAGTTTTAACAGACTTTTTAATCTTTGCCAATCAGTTAAAAAAAGTGTCTCAGTGTAGTTTTAACTTGCATTTCTTTTTATTATGATTGAAGGTCAGGACATTTTCATATGTTTAAGAACTATATACTTCTGTCTGCTGAAAACATTGCAACTAGTATAGTGACCTAGAGCAAATTATTTAAGCTTTGTAAGTCCAGTTTCCTCATTGGTAAATCGGGAATAAAAATAGTAAGCAGGATTGTTGGATGATCAAATGAAATTTGTGTTCAGCACTCAACACAGTGCCTGGCACATAGCAAGCATTCAATAAGTTATTATTGGATGGCTGACAATTAGGGCAGCAGGTAGGACAGGTCAGATAAATTAAGAAACTAGCATTCATCTCTGTCTTCAGGCACGTGGAGCCTTGTTCATTTACATTGCCATTCATCAGAGAAATGCAAAGTCAGAGCTTTCCTTGTCTTAGAAGAGTAAAGAACCTTTTCCTATTGGAACCCAATCATAGGCTGTTGGCAGAGCTGGTGAGGGGGTAGCACAGCCTCATCTCTAATATTTAGACTCAGCCAACATGGTAAAGAAATTTGGCTTAATGTGAAATAAAAACAAAAACAGAAGAGCCCAGGAGTACACGTCTTTATTCCACCATGGTTTTAAAGTCCCAGCTAGCCAAGATTGGAGTGAGTCTCTGCTTGTAAACTCAGTGGGATGCCAGCCATCCATTTTATGAAGGGGGAGAGGGCAGAGGCTTCTGAGTTGAGGGAAGAAACAACATAGGAAATCTGGCTCCCCCTAAACAAGACTGCACTGTGTTTCACAAGCTAGAAAATCAACTGCTTTATTTTTAGCACATCAAACTGGTGTCCACAAAAGGAGAGCCCAGGAGAGATTTGTCTCCTGTAAGAAGCAGTGTGTATTTAATACAGGTCTTCAGAGATGGGCACCCTGGCTTGTGGCAGCCCTTGCTGTGGTGCCCAGGAGCTATTGCTGGGTAGATTTTGAATGTTTATTTACCCAAAGTTACTGAATATTTTCTTTAGACTTGTACAAAGCCCTGGCTCCCTCTTTCTTATCAACTCCCCATGATCTTTTATATTGTCCTCTTGCTGCTTTCTCATTTGTGTCTCATACACCCAGCAAGTTAGTATCACTCTTCTCTGAGATGAGGGCATCTCCTGCCCCTCCGTGGGGCCACAGCACTGGCAACAGGGTGGAAATGTGCCCAGATCTGGCCCAGACCAGACTGGCTGAGTGGCAGTGGTGGTTCTTGGGAGGAGGCATTGGAGTCACTCCCCAAACTTCCCCTGATCCTTTTTTGCTCGATAGATTCTGAAGGACCATCCCAGGGCAGATGGAGCCTCTGACCCAGGTGTGGAAGCATCAGGATGATATGTGGATTATGGCTGGAAAAGGGTGTGTGCAGTGTGAGGCTGAAGGACCTTGCATGGTTGCACAGCTTGAGGGGCTGCTTGAGGGCCACCCATTGGTAAGTGTCCCACAGCAAGGCCAGGACAGATGGCAGACAGGGCCTCGTGGCCTGTGGCTGAAGCATTAAAGCATTTGGTGGTGTCTGAGCCAAGCAAGGGCATGGCGGTGTGGAGGTGGTGACAGAGCTCACAGCCAGAGCCTAAGCTGGGGGAGATGAGAAGCAGGCGAGGCTGGCTGGGAGCTGGGCTGCAGGGCCTCCTGCCCGATGTCTTCACAGGTCTCCCCAGCGAGGAAAGCTTCCTTCAAGCCTGTGGCCGGGCCCATTTCCAGGTAACTTCCCACACTGACCCCTTGCTGCTACTCCTTGGCAGTGCAGTGTGGGGGGCCTGCCCCAGCCACATAACCTGGGGAGCAGTGGCAGCGGTAGGAGCCCTCCGTGTTCTCGCAGTGACCGTGGACACAGAGTGCAGCAGGTCCGTTCAGGTCATCACACTCATTCACATCTGAGAGGAAGGGAGAAGGAGAGAGCTGTAGGGTCCCCAGGCACCTCTGGCCTGCTGCCTCTGCCCCTCTGGTCGCTAAGCCCCTGCCCCTGCCCTACAGTAGAATCCTAGGTATTGCAGCCAGAGGATGAAGTCACTGTCCCAAACTAAGCTACTCACAGACACAAAGCTGGTGATAGTGAGGCCATACTGTGCCCATGCTGTCTTGTCACTGCCTTTCTTCTGTCTAGGAACCTCCATGGAAGGGCTTTCTTAACACAGCATTAGGCCTTTGGAACTCTCACCACTCGGCCTGGCACCTGGTAGGCCCACTAGGGGGCAGCAGTGGATTTCCCACCTAGGCTAAGTCATGCATCCCTAAGTGAGCAGTGGGGCCAGTCTGACTTTTCCACGTGGAGCCATCAGGGCCGTCCTGCTCCTGCAGTATTGCCACTCTGATTCTAAACTTACCCACACAGGCCATGTGCGCCGTGTCCAGCTGGAAGCCCTCAAAGCAGTCACAGGTGTAGCCCTCCCGCACGCGCACGCAGCGGCCGTTCTCACAGCCGTTCAGGATGCCACACTCCTCTGCCTGGAGCCCTTCAAAGCCGGCCTGGTGCTCTGGTAGGAGGGAGTCAGAGAAGGAGGCTGAGGCCTTGTACCCGACCCTGGGGCCCTCACCCTCTGCTCGGAGGATTACCACTAATGAACTCTTGGGGTCAGGGCAGGGAGGGTCATAACACTCTCACAAAGATGCTGAAACAGAAGGCAGTACTCTTCATAAGCATGTGTCACTTTAGGTGGGGAGATGTGCTGGACTTTAAATGAGGGCTCCAGGAAGGCTGGGACACACTGCTTTCACAACGCCAGGGCTTCTGAGCATTTGGGTGTCTCTGTATAGTTTTGATTTTGTTGCAGTTGGTGGCAGGGTGTTCTGTTAAAATTTTGACAGTTTTTTGGAGTGTAGAGGATTGGTAGCAAAAGGGGATTACCCTCACCACAAAGAAAGGCTTCTACAAAGGCTTCTGCCTAACCTTCTTTCTCTAAGCAAACCCCCTCCCCTGGAAAAGGCCCTGTCCCTAATCTCAGCGCAGTTTTGATCAGTTTGACGTGGTGCCTTGCCTGTGGCAAGTGCTTCGTCCATTGCACAGATGCCAGACCTGATTTCCTCAGAATCCGAGTCCTGAGTGCTGGAATCATTGCCACTTACAAACCAGGTACCATGGTCTGTAGACCTTTAAAGTGATTAGAAATCCTTAATTTCCATTTCAGGGCACACGTTTGAACTTGTGAAGCAGGTGGTTCTGCATACCGTAAGTGGTGTGGGAGAGACGGAGAACCGCGTCCCCCTCTCTCAACTCCCACAGGCAGCTTCTGAGGTTGGGATGTTGTCCTGTACCTCTTTGTGTCCCCTGTGCTAGTCCGTCACGGGGAGTTGTTAGGGTGTGGGCCGGGCATTTGGAGGTGGCCCTTGAGTGACCTGTTGAGTGGGCTTGATCTTTTCCCTTCCCTGTCCTCACCTTGCTGACAGTGATTAGCACGTGAAGGAGATGGAAGTGAAACAGCTTCAGAGCCCACCTCTTCCCCATTTTTGCAGCAACACAGACCTGGGTGGCTGGCAACGTAGCGGGGCTGGAGTTCTGAGGGCTGCAGGGGAGGCTCAAGGACGGGTATGCGGTCCCCTCGGTGGCTGGCCGTGTTGGGGAAGGGTGGCTCAGGGATGGCATCCTCGGGGCCCAGGTAGTTGTAGAAGGGGGCCCCGTCTGGGCCATAGAGGCTGTAGTGCAGGTCCTCGGGCCCAGGGCCATACTCATAGCCGGGCCGGAAGTGGACCCCAGCCTCTCGCTCAGCTTCAATCCGAGCCACGTTGCACAGCTGAGCGTAGACCTCTGTCAGGGAGGAGGGAGAGAGGAAGCTGGGCCCTGCTCCTGGTATCTAAAGCCTGCAGTGCTGTTCCCCCGCTCCGAGGAGAGAGGGAGCGTGTGGAGACTGGTGCCCTCTGAGTTCCTGGCAGTGCTCCTCTCCCCACCCCGCCCCCTGCCCCGCCTTGTCCTCATAACAGGGACGAAGACAGCCATGACTTGCCCTACTCCTTTCTAAATTCCCGCTTCCAGGGTGAGGACATTCCCCACCCCGGGGCCCAGTGCAGCTCTGCCGATGTCTCCTCTGCCCTCCGTGCTCACCAGAGCTCCTGGGGGGGCACAGAGCACACTGCTGGCTCCAGGCCTCGCCGTCCTGGCAGCAGCACTCGGTGTAGGTGGTGCGGCGCCCGTGCAGGGGATGGCTGCACACATAATTGGTGACTTTTTTCCAGCAGATGTCCATGTGGATGTCGTGGTCAGGCAGGTCCTCTGGTGGCACAGGGCAAGGAAGGATGTGAGCCTCCAGCCCAGGTCCACTCCCCCAGGTCCACTCCCCCCGCTGCCCCATCCCCCTGGCCCACTGACCCATGCCACTGGTGCTGTTCACACAGCGTTGCTGGCTGAGGTCCAGGGTGAGTGGGGGGCTGCAGAAGCAGTGGAAGGAGCCTTCTGTGTTCACACACTCGCCATCCTCACAGGCCATGTCCTGGCATTCGTCATGATCTAGGAGGCAGGAAGATGGGAGGAACGGGGGGGGGCTGTGCTAATGCGGCCCTCCCGTGGACCACCTTCAGAGAAAGGGGTTTTCTTGTAACTGATAATCAAGAGGTAGCACCCCCACTCCCCCCTCCCCACCCCCAGCCCCAGTCTGGGGGCCTGCCTTTCCAACTGGTCCCGGCACACAATCCCTGACAGCCCCAGAGCTCCTCTCACCTCAGACCTGCCTGCCACAGCGGGCCTCTTCCCCAGGAAGGGGAACCCCCAGCAGGAACTGGGCTGGCTGGCAGGGGAGGGTGAGCATTCAGCTGTGGGCCCCGGGGTGGGGATGGGGGTGTCCTCACCCTCACACTTCCTGCGGGCGGCATTGTAGTGATAGCCGGGGTTGCACAGGCAGATGTAGCCAGGCACCGTGTTGAGGCACCGGCCATTCCGGCAGAGACCAGGCCCGAATATCACACACTCGTCGGCATCTGTGGGAGGGCAGAGCTGAGGTGAGGGGAAGGCGAGAAGCAGTTTGAGATGGTTCCTAGGACGAGGGGCTCCAAAGGCAGACTTGCTGGGGTTGAATCCCGGCCTTGCCACTTGCCAGTCGAGTGACTTCAGGCAAGTTACTTAAGTTCTCCTTGTCTCGGTTTCCTGCCTACTCCTTATCCTCTCATGGTTGTTACAAGGGTAAAACGGTTAATACATGTAAGGTGCTTCAAATAGTGCTTGGCACATAGCAAGCACTCAAAGGGAACTACAGCAGTTTCTATTATTTCCTTTTCCAGTTTCAGGTGTGAGCCCGTACGTTGGCCACTCTCGCCAAAGTTTCTGGCTTTGTAAGTGGGGCCAGGGAGATCAGCAGCCACCTCTGGCCTCTGTCCCTGTGCCCTGTGACTAGGTTAGTCAAGGCATCATAGCTTGTTCCTGGAGGATTCAGCCTCAGAGGAGCGGGGAAACCATGGTGGGGCTGAATGGATGCTCCAGGAGAGCTCCAGTGAAAACTCCCAGCTAAAGATCTGCAGCCCTGGAGCAGGAAGGTTGGAAGCAACCTGAGAGGTCTGAGCTGCATGCAGAGCTTCCCCAGGGCCTCCTGGGCCCACACAGGTGAGCGGTGCTTGGGGAGGAAGGTCTGTAGGGAGGTTACCTGTGTACGTGGTCTGTCCAAACATCCAGGCTCCTTCCACAGGGACGTAGCCTTTCCCACTAGGGCAGATCTCGTTGAATTCAACTGCAGGGAGGCATCCAAGCTGAGAGAGAGAAGGGCTCTGCCCGCTTCCTCTCTCCCCTTCTAGTGTCATCCTGCAGAGCTGACCCTGAGAGGATCTGGGACACCTGGCAGCCTTACCTGAGTCCTCAGCTGGGCACAGGTCACAGGCGTCTCCCCAGCCAGTGCCCTGTGTGCAGCAGCACTCGGCCTGCGTGGTGTTCCGGCCCAGAAGGCTGGAGCAGGGTGGCTGGCCCGTCTGCCCGGAGTAGCATTCCATGCGGATGGGGCCCGGGGGGTGGTCCTCTGGCGAGGCCTCAGGGATACTCTGACCTACATGTGATAGATGCTAGCATTGTTTGTTCATGGCCTCCTGGGGCACACTAGCCTTTGAATTTATTTTGAAATATTAACATTTATATAGCATGTCACAGTGGATGAAATGCTTTATCTCACTAGACGCTCAATAACCTTATGAGGTGGGTATTATCATCAGCTCTCTTTTATAGACGAGGCAGTTGAGGCTTAGAGAAGCTAGATGACTTGCCACAGTCACCTAGTGGCACAGCAGGGAATTGATCCTAGTTCCTTTGGTGTCAAGCCCTGCTCTTCCCAGTGTACCATCCTGCCTTCCTCCATTGTAGTGGGGTGCCCCCAGTCCTTGGTATACCATATGTCAACCCTCTGCCCATTCCTCTGCTTCACACTGTATCCCAGCCCCTCTCATCCTTCCTTGTGTTGGGTCCTGCTTGCTTTCTCCCAAGTCAGAGAAGGCCATATGAGTTCTATTTCAGCCTGGGCTGAGGCTGAACCCAGCTGCTCTGGGGTGGAATGGAGCAGGGAGAATTGAGCTTAGCTCAGCTTCAGGGCCTCCCTCACCTGGGCAGCTGCCTGGACTGAAGGTCCCTCCAAGGCTCAATCTGAGATCCCTGGGGCTCCCCTATGTTGGCCTTGGGGTTTCCAGAGCCTCCTGTAGGGTCGTCACAGCCCTGCAGCCTTCTGGAAATTCCCTGGCCTGGAGCAGACTCCCCTCTTGTCTTGACCAAACTCTCAGACTCCTCACCCCTCTGCACTCTATTCCTGAGCTGAACCACTGCCCACACTGCCCCAGTCCCAGCCTGAGATCCCGCTCAAGAACTGGAGCAGTGGGGGCGCTCTGGAAGCCACCCGCAGGTGGCAGTGCCGTGAGCGGTGGTGCATAACGACGGGGTGGAGTAGGGGGCATGCTCACCTCCAGCCACCCGCGGGCGGCAGTGCCCCTCCTGGGCATCGTACTCCTCCAGGTCGCTGGCGCAGAGGCACAGGAAGGAGCCCTCCACATTCTCGCAGAGCGCAGCCCCGCACACCGCCAGCATCAGCTCACATTCGTTCACATCTGCCAGGCAGGAGGACAGGCTTGTGGGCAGAGAAGAGGCGGCCCAGGGCCCCAGCCCAGCGGGCAGATCCTCACCTCATCCCCCAAAAGAAACAGGCTAGGCCTTGGTGGGAGAGCAGAAGTGAGTATGAGTTAGCAGGAAGGAGGAACAGGTGAACAGAGGGCATGGGAAGGGAGAGAAAGAAGGGTGGCAGAAAGGGGTCACCAAATGGACAAAGAGAAAGGGTTCCTCCCTCGGCACATTCCTCAAATGTGCCTCTGGAGAACTTAAGGTCTCTGGAGAAGGGTGGTACCCTCATTATGTGCTTGCTCCCCCTGCTGGTAGAACATGGCCTTGCTTCCCTTTCCAACCTGGCCAAGGAGCCAGCTACAGGGTGGAGCTGAAATCTCCCTTCCTTGCCCACTCTATGAGGACCTGTTATGGAGCTGGTGACCATGAACATTTCAGGAGCAGGGCCCTAGGGCCACTCTATCCAGAACAGCCAAGATCTGTGGAGATGGGATCAAGGGCCCAAGAACCCTCCCTTCCCTGGCTCAGAGCCTGGCTAAACCACAGGCTTCTCACCAATGCAGTCCCAGCCGGAGGGCGAGGTCTCGAAGCCCTGGTCACAGAGGCAGCGGAAGGAGCCGTCGGTGTTGTCACAGAAGCCGTGGTTCCCACACACGGTGTCGTTGGCACACTCGTCTATGTCTGTGGGACAGTTGGGGCGAGAGTGTAGGGTGTGCTCTCCATTTGCTGGGAATATTTATGTGGTCTGTTAACACCAAGAGCTGTGAAAACTAACTTCTGAACACAGGACAAGAAAACTCTAACATTAACATTCCTCTTCAATTTTTGTGTAAGCACTGCTGAATGGAAAATACACAAATTCCAAACAGCTGCGAAAAGTTTTTAGCTGGATCCACAAAAACTAGGTGTCCTCAGCCCTCTCACCCTGGACTCCCCTGCCCTACTCACCAATGCAATCTCTAGTCGGGGCCACGTGGAAGCCAGGCTGACAGCCCAGGACACAGCGGTAGGAGCCAGGGCTGTTCTCACAGCTCCAGGCCCCACACACCGTGTCTCTGAAGTCCTCACACTCATCAATGTCTGTCCCCAGAGCCATGAGAGGGGACAGAGTGGCCAGGTCACTGCTCTGACATCACCTCTCCATCATTACAAGGTCATGCCCCACAGCCTCTGGGGTCCTTGATCTGTTCCAAATTGCTGTGCTCATCTCAGCCCCTAAACAGCAAGCTCAGGATCACCTCCCCTGACCCGGCAGGGCCGAGCGTCTGGGAGGAGAGTTCTCTGCTGTTTGGGAAAGCACTGAGCTCTCAGCCTTCCGTGACACTCCCTTCCCCCACACCCCTCCCTGCAGCAGAGCACTTTCTACTTCTCTTTATATAAAACCTTCACCAAAGTGTATTATGAAGATTTGTCTTCATATCTGTCTCTCTTGCTCAATATCAAGATTGTCCATAACTGTCTGACATTGAACCCAGCTGGCGTTTAATAAATGTCTGTTGCATCAATTTGGCTTTATAAACTAGATTGTGTGCTCTGCTAGCACACGGACCTCATTGTCTTCATTTTGTCTTCCTTGGACAGTCCCTGAGTCAACAGAGGCTCAATAAATGCATTATTCATTGGATGATTAATCTGTGGAAAGTGCTCTGCTTCCCGGAAGCTGCCGCTTCTGGTCCCAGGGAGCTGAGAACCAGGCAGGGTGGAGGTGGCGGATGTGGGCAGAGCCCTGTCCGCTCTCCCTGGAGCTCTTACCCACACACGCCCCGCTCTCTGGGGAGGGCTGGAAGCCAGTCTCACACAGACAGTTAAAGGAGCCCTCAGTGTTGACACAATGCCCTCCGAGGCACCGGTCAGTGACTTCACACTCGTCCACATCTAGAATAGAGACGTCTGTCAGCAGACCCAGGCGTGGGTCCCCAGGGCCCTGGACAGCTGCCTCTAGGCCCT